ACACACCTTGTCTGGGAATGATGCACACAATATTAGGGAGGGTGACATGGCCGTCCTGGATGGTGACACGTGGTGAAATTCTGTTGGAGTGTCAGGGTGCACCATGCCTGTTGTCTGTGCGCACAAAAATCATATTTTCTTCAAAAATTAAGATCTTCTTCATACGAGCTTCATTTTCGACGCATTTTATATTCACGCGTAACTATCGACGAGGTACATAACTTTTGTTTAGAATCCGTCAGCTAGTTTTCGATTTATTTTAAAGTTATATTTTTACAGGCTTAGACTATTAAAGTCCGTGTAAAAATCATTAGTCTCTCATACAACATCTGTTCTTAATTGTCTCTTTATCGACGAATAGGTATGGACGAGATCTTCAACTCTCGTTTAGATTGTATTTCCTAACAATTAACCGATCTTAATCTAAGTTTCTATGTCGCACATTGCTACGCCGAAACTTCCAAAAATCATAACTTCCTCATGCGATGTCACGTTTGGACGTTATTTATATGCACATTCTTGGTTTTATGACTACTACGACTTTCATTTTAATTTCTGAGGCTAAAAAGTAATATATTTCTATTTTGAATTTCTAATAATCTTTTTACATTACAATCTACGGTAATGGTAAAAATGGGGCGTTAACATCATTCATGTCACTCATAATTCCAAGCACCACGTGTTGATCTTACTCAAACTCTAGAATGTTGTGAGTTCTTGTAACATGACATCGTCACACTTCTGTATCGTTCTTACTATCTATCCCTTAAAAGAAATGAGGGAATTACTTTTAAGGTCAAAATCACCCTATGATTCTCACACTGAAGTAGTTTGTCTTTCTGACTCATCCATGAAAATTTCAAAAAATTTCCTTTACTCATCATCGTCTTCTTGACAATCCTTTTTAGCAAATTTCAGTTTTCATTCTTGTTCTCACCTTGTTAGTACTATAAGATCTTTGATGTTCAATTTGCATTCTTAGATATTCCATCATGTGAAATCGTCTTTTTTATTTATTGACCATAGGAAATCTTCCAGAAACATTTCCTCCATTATCAAGTTATCACCTCTTGCAGTCTTAGTCCTCCTGACACCCTCGTCATATTCTCCACGTAATCTTAACACTTTATCGCCAATCACAGAACTTGTAGGCAGTGCTTTCAAAGTTCCTCCCATTAAGTTGTTCATTATGGTAGTCTAGTACCCTAGGGTAAGGTACTCTCATGGACTTATCGTTTTCACTTTTAGTTTCTATTATTTCCATGTAATGAGATAATATTCGTATTGGGTGTCTTCCTTTTAGGCTGGAGAAATACCTTCAGGTATCTTTCAACATTCTTCTTTCGTTGTGATGACATCACTTTCCATTAAGTACATTAGGTTAATGCACCATCACTCATCTTTATTAGTGTCCCACTGTCATAATGACACCCTTGTTCCACAGCTACCATCACACTTAACACTTGATAATATTGTCATCTAGTTCCTCACTCCTTAGGATCCCAAAATATCTAATTGATTCAACAATATCGTGTTCCTTTCTAAGCTGTCTCAATCACGCTTTCTTGTACTATCTTGCTTTCATCATTATATCTCTATTTCTCCAATTAGGTCATTGGGTGACCTTCCAGTGTTGTCAACCACATCCCAATATTTCTTTCATCTAAGGATGAAATTCATGATTCCATTCCATTATTTTCTCAGTCAACTTGCTTGTAACTTGAAGGTTCTATTGGTTGGTATTAGACTTTTATATTTATATGTTAAAAATGCATTTACAATATCCGTGACTACAAGTTTTACAATCAACTTTTGTTTTATCAAAAGACATCCTTATACAACAAAGAGTGTAGACCCAATAAAATATACTCCCCTCACTGGGATACACATTTCTTTCAACCAAAATATTCTTAATATAACTACACATGAATACATATTGATATCCTTTATAATATCACAAACCAGGTTTGGTTTATTCAATATTTTTATCACAAAATCCTTTTGCATCCTTTTACCGAAACCAACATTAAAGTAGTCAAGATGCATCAATGACACCCCATAAAGAAAGTAGACACTCACTTTCCCTCTTTCTTCAAGTATTTAATGGTTTCTTCATTAATCCTCATCTTCGAGTCTTGAACCAGATGACCCTGATATCATTATGTTGAAGAAAACCATAAAAACACGAACATATGAATGTAAGGAGAATTCTTTATGTAGAAAAAGAAACCATAGAGTCTTCTATTAATATTACTACACACGTTTATAAACTAGATTCATATATATTAATATTAATATAATCGTTAAATAACATTTATGCCGGTTATAACCAACATCTTTTTTTTTAGAACCGACAAATTTTATTAACGGAACACTACCCAACAAGTTGCTACAAGGTTCACCAACCAACACAATGGTTCACATAATAAGTAACACTTAAGAGGTGTTTAGCTTATAATCCTAACACTTATCTATATTAATACCATACGTGTCTCATTTATTCATTTATGCAGTGTAATTATTCCAAAGCAATATGTTCATTTTCCTAACACCCCTTCATTTATAAGAACACATTTCTCCATGACTTATTCATAGCATTCCCATGCACCTTGGGTGTTACACACTTGACAATCATCCAATTGAATGGATAATTGCATTGGTAAACGAAAGTTCAAACATTATATATGTCTTCGGATGGATTGATAAGGGTCCTACTAATTGGATCCCAGATTTTCTTAGAGGACCCCTCATTAATGACCTTTTAAGCATAAAATTCCGTATATTTATAATATCAATAGCTTTTATGATTACTAAAAGTTAATTTTTTTTGAAACTCGTACTTATCATTTAATTCCTATAAACTTTTTATTTATTATATATTTTACTTTTTTATAATCAAATAATAATACAAACATATCAACGGTTTCTATATATTTTAATATTTATATAAACCAAAAAATAAAAATAAAATGATATTAAATATTTAAATGAAAACTAAGTATTATTATTATATCGTATTTGAAGTCAATTATTATTATGCTTACATATAAAAATGATTTTAATAAATTGCATTAAAAAACCAAAAATAAATTAAATTTTTTTGTTTACAATATTTTATTTTATATATTTGAAAAAAAATTTATATGGTTATTTTAATACTTTTTTATAAAAATAATATTTTTTTTTCTATAAACAAATCTTTATAGAACTATTTTATTATGTAATGATTAGTTTTATTTAAAGTAGAATATAAAATAATTATGAGGGTCTAATATTATGCAATGATAATTAATAAAAAAAATAATTATTTGGTAATGATTAGCTTATTTTAAAAAAAAAGTTAAAGTAATTATTAAAGTAATTATTAAGGATCCTTTAATTTAAAGTAAAAAGGATCCAAATAGCTAACCCGATTGATAAATATGTCACTTAGTAATTAGAAGGCAAAGAAAACCCTAATTAACAAACTTCCAATATCTTTTAGAATTTGCTCGATCTAATTAAATATTAACAGGTAATGAAGTGCATGCAACAGAAATATAAATATATAACTAGGGTTAGCGGTTGTCGTATTGATGAAATTACTTTTCATGTTTGTCTAATTGGTCAACTAAAACATTAAATGAATCAAGATATTACTCTTTTCATTCCATAAACACGATATCCTTTTTTATTCTCTAGTTACTTCAAGAAAGCTACATTACTATTAATGGTTCATATAATATTCTTTGAAAATGACACAATAGAAATATTATTATAATATTAATTTTTTTTGAAACGGCAAATGATTATATGGAAACCTGGTAATATATTTCAACGAGCACCTCGGGTTCAAGTTCCTTTCCATCCATAAGGTTTTCCAGGGAAAATTTCCTCACATGTGGTCAAATTGGGTTTTGCAGGGATTGAACTCCCGACCTTTGATCTCACGTGGGTATTAAACCCGATATCTCTTCGCAGCTAGACTGGAAGTCATTGGTTATTATAATATTAATTAAACTAGTGTTAATAGTAATAGTTAAAATACAAATACATCAAGTATTAATACAAACCAAAAAGTTTTTGATCGTATTTTTGAAGTGGTGTTTCTTTCAGTCAAAAGATGGTTTAAGAATTAAGTTATATCAAGATTAGATGTAATCATTGTATTTATAATTGTTACTATTGAAAAAATGAATAATATATTAATTTTGAAAGTATATGATAAAAGAAAATATCTTGTTAATACGTAACAATTTCAGAAAGAAAGTTATTATAAATTTTAAAAGGACGATAATATTTAGTTTCCCAATTAATCCTCCCATTTGTTGTATGATTTTATTAATAAAAGATGCATTGATTTCTTGCCGTGCCAAAAAATGTAAAAGACGCATTGATTTTAATTTTAAACTGAAATGCAAAACAAATTAATAACATATGAGGGATTCAAATAGAGATGTAATCACAGCGTAGAACATTTACGTCTGAAAACAACTTTGGCTAAACAAGAATATGGCTAGTCCTAAATGTATGAATGTTCTAAATGTATGAATTGTCAATTAATCGATACTTGATCACTCAGCCATTGATATAGTTCCCCATGACTTGAAAAAAAATATATAACGAAGGAAGAACAAGATTCATATGATTAATTAATAATATAATATGCTTCAAAATTTCTCCAAAACTCATATGTTCAATGTACATTTAATTAAGAAAGGCCTATCCCTTAACATAACATATATTGAACTTTTTTATTTTTATTTTTATTTTTTTTCCTGTAAAGATTTTTAGGTTGATCAAACTTTCCAGGAAAGCTGGTATATATTGATCAAAACCTAAAACCCTAACTTAAACATGTTTTCAGATTGATAACTTTGCTACTAATATATATATATATATATATATATATATATATATATATATATATATATATATATATATATATATATATATATATATATATATATATATATATATATATATATATATATATATATATATATATATATATGTATCCTCTAAGATCTAAATAGAAGAAAACTCCTTTTTTCCTTCGTAGTTCATAAGTAAGATAAGGAAAGTAACATGAAAGCATGCGACTACCTATCTAAATTAGTTGTGACTGGGAGGGTGCGTCTTTGGTGGAGAATAATCAAGATTAAAACCAGGTTGCTGATGTATCCGCTTGTTTCTAGGAGGGATTCTAAAAATGACAGTAGTATGTGACTTAGGATGATGTTGATGACGAGGACGAACCTGTTCTTCTTGGACCTTCTTTAACATTTGGTCCTTGTTCACGACTTTCCTGTTCTGTGATTTGGAGTCTGTTTTCATGTGATGATCATTATCAACCTTACAGCTGTGATCCTTTCTCTTTTTCGTCATTTTGAGGTTCAAATGATCAGGAACTGTGAGTAGATCGTTCTCAAAACTCTAAAAGAGTTTAAAAATAAGGTCACAAAAAAAATCGATGTACAGTTATCATGAGGACCAAAGAAGAAGAAAGAGTTGGTCATGGTATGCTGACCTTGATGGTGGAATCGCTGAGAAGCTTTGCATTGTCATCCATGGCCAAACTATCACTACTAGGATGTCGACCAGTACATTCATGTGAAAGACACAGAAATAAAATAAGAATACATGTTGATGATCGTAACATTCTTGACATCATCATTAAATGAGAGAAGATCATTAATATCATCAAGCCAACAAAATATTTGTGGTGTCCGAGGAAGAGGAAGATGAATTTGGTGATATTTGTATAAGATGGAAATCAAAGCATTAAATGCGTGATATATCCATGGCAGGCATTTATTATTTATTCATCATGGAATATAAACAAGAAATATTTGCTCTGAAGAACATGCAATGTATGAAGATGGAAATATAAAAGGAGATATGGTTAGCCTTCTTTTCTCTCTCTCTCTCTCTCTCTCTCTCTCTCTCTCTCTCTCTCTCTTATATATATATATATATATATATATATATATATATATATATATATATATATATATATATATTAATGTTGTAAAAATCGCTTAACGGTAGCTCGATGGTCGACTGATGTTAAGGGATTAATCGGTCTTGGCGGAGATTAATCAAAGATTAATCGGGGACCATAGATTAATAATAAAATATTAAAATTAATTAAATATTAATATATCTTAAGAAAAACAAGTACTTTAAAACTAGAACATAAGAAAAATTGTAATTTGGAAATACGAAAATACTACATTTTGGTATAATATTTGAAATTTTGAAATTTTGAAAATTTTGGAGTAAAAAAAGAAAGTTGGTTTTTTGAATTTTTTTTGATCTTTTTTTGACTTTTTTTTTTGACTTTTTTCGACTTTTTTGATTTTTGTTGTCCGATTAATCACACTAAACCCGATTAATCATAAATTTCCGATTAATATCCTAAACCTCGACGGTTGGAGAACGTCAATCGATTAATCCACGATTAATCGTCGATTAATTCTGATTTCTGTAACCATGATATATATATATATATATATATATATATATATATATATATATATATATATATATATATATATATATAAACTTAGGTTATTTTGTTTTTACTAACTATTGCGTGCCAGAATGCACAGATCTGGACTATCGGATGAAATAGAATCAAATGTCATGATCTGAGAGTCTATACTATTACAATAGGGTAACATGCAGCATATAATCACATAATTTTAAGCATAATGGTATTTTGGTTAATTTACCTATATTAAAATAAAAATTTCCAGAATTTAAGGGATAATTAATTCCTTTATTTTTAAAAATCTGAATATTTTAAATTAATTAAAATTTAAAAATCCGATTTTATTCTGTCAGAATGACAGAATACCAACCATAAACTAGTAAATATATTTTTGGTTTTTATTCTTGCAGAATACATTTCCAATGCAATTATATTTAATAATTGACCTGATTTAAGAATAAGATATTATTCATATACATCTAACTTGGGTCTATGATTTTATTCTTATCGTCACAAATGAATTTAATTTTGAATATAATACTTTTAATATACATTATAACATAAATTTTACACACAATTGTTCCTTACCACATAGTAGTCTGCGTTGGTTTAATTGTCTAACTCTAAGCAATTTTTACGAGTTGTTATAAAGGCTTTGTAATATTCATGTTTAGGTCGTTTTAAAATGGAATCTGAATTGTTAGTGAAACATCTGACTTTCGTGCGACTTTTCCACCTAGATCAGGTGAGTGTATAATTACTTTTATTAACATAATGTAATATCAGTAATTATTAAAATATATTAAATAATATTTTAAAGTCTACATGTGAAATTAAATGTTTATTATTTGGAATATTTGATAAATATGTTTTTGATAACATGCATTATGTGAACCGGTTAAGGTTAGTTATTTGTTAAAATGTTTATATGCTAATATTACGAGATAGTCTTAAAAATAAATATTTATTACTTAAAAGATTACTACATATTAAAATACTCTTTGTGTTAAAATTATACACTAAGTTACGATAAGTGTCGTTTAAACAAGAATTAATATTAAAAATGTTTACAAGGATTAAAGTCTCGTCTAAGTGCTAAACTAAGACATATAAAGAATATTTGGATCCACTTAAGTATGATAAAAGAATAGATGTTTACTGTATTGCAATAGTACGATATAAATAGGAAAATTATTTGGAAATTCATTATAAGCATTATAGTCTTACTTGATAATAAAATAAGATTTATAAAAAATGTTTAGTTCGAGTTAAATTAAAAGAGTGTTTAGTTACACGCTGTATTGTAAAGATATTTCATAAACAGGAAAGTGTGTTAATTACATGTATTATAACCTTGTCTAGTTATATAGCAAGACTTAAAGGGAATGTTTAGTTCATTTTAGTTTGGATTTATGGTAGTATCATATTAAGGGTGTGTGTGATAGGAATGGAAATTAGAACTATGTTCTATGACACTATCACATGTCGATGTACGGTTTACATACCATAGTACTAAATCATATTCATTTGAATAATCAAGATTGGAAGGTCCATATCAGACAACCGAAGGCTATATTTGGAGTATATTACAGAGTGAGATGCCAACACCTGATTTTAGCAAGAATTTTAGCATTTCTTTTGGGGTGTAGATTCGGCGATGTTGGTTGAGATTACAGATGATAGGTTGGTTAGTGCATCCGAGGTTTTCAGATATTACACTCTTGATATTTATGGCGAGATATTTCTAATTGACTTCATCCTGATTCCTATGGGTGAGATCAATGTCATCGTGGGTATGGATTGATTAGATCGACATCAATCATTGATTGATTGTAGATATAAATTGGTTCGAGTTCAAACCCTATGTGGGAGAATTGGTTATCTATGGCAAGAAGGAAAGGAATGTGGGTTATCCGTTCCACTGCTAAGCCTCAGAAGTACCTACAACATGGATGCACTGGTGTAATATCCCCTATTTTCAGAACCAAAGAAACCTTTTGTTTATGCTTTTTAAATAAAAATATATTTGTTTACGAAAAATCCTACTACCCTAAAATATTTTGCGGAAATTATCTCATGTTATTAAAATCTCTTTGATTAAACATGTTATTTCAAAATACAAAACTCTAAGGATGTCATAATCAATATATAACATTTTTACATCATAAAGACCTAATAGTCCTGAACACTATTGCAGGTTGTCTCTTAATCACTCAGTATCCTAATCAAGTTCCAATAGCTTTAACCCTATAACCTATGATGCATATAACTTGAGTGGGTTAGGTTGGGAATCCTGGCGAGATACATAGGGTTTTCTATCCCAAAATATTATTATGATAATGAACTATAATTATCAAACCTGCAAAACCAACTATTACCACATAATATCATTTATCATAAATATTCATAAGATAATTCTACCATCTTGTCGATTAGCATATATTGGTCCTATAACATTGATCCATGAGATCTAACATGATGGATCATTGTAAGCAACGAGTATAGTTTCCTTCTTCAAAGGTTCCTTGGCGGTAAATGTCAATAAAGGCTACCATGAGGGCGATAGAGTATAAACACCTATGGGTATGGACACCCATTTTGTTATAAAATATGGATGGGGTTATAAGTCCACAATAAACAATGTAAATCACAGGATCTTCAAGATTAGTCTAATGTTGTCATCTTACTCTAACATATGACCAAACATACTATTTTAGTTGCCTGATTGGCAACACCATATCTAGTTATCCAAAGGAATATAATATTGTACTCTAATACTTAATCCATATATTGACACTTGATGGTGTCATATAATAAAGCTCTACTCTCTTTTCCAATCTTACACACAACACTGGTATAAAATTACATAAAATCCAGCTTAATGGAACTAATCATTCCTTTTAAGTTTGAGTTCATTACTAAATAAGACTATAATGCTTATAATCTATTTCCAAAACTATTTTCATTTTTATACCATCCCATCACAATACAATATGTGACGATTCTTTTTTTCAAACTTAACAAGATCTAAATATTCTTTTATACGTCTTATTTTTAAACATAGACAAGATTGTAATCCTTGAACTCGACTTTTAATACTTAATCTTTTTTATATGACATTTATCGTAAACTTAATGTATTTTTTTAACACAAAGTATCATGAATTTTAATATACATTAATCTTTTAAGTAATCATACTTATTTTTAAGATTATCATGTAATAATTTCAAAGAAGCATTTTAACACGTAAATAACCATATCTGGTTCACATAATATATGTTATCAAATATAACTTTAATAATATTCTAAATAATAAACATTTAACTCATGAAAATAAATATGAACTCACCTAATATATGTGAAAAACTCGCGAGAAAGTCAGCTCTTTGACTAACACTTCATATTCCCTTTTAAAACAACCTAAATAGGAATATTACTAAGCTTTCGTATTCGATCATATTTATAAAGTTTAATCGTTCTAATGTTTTTACTAGATTTATTAATAATCCCAAAAGAACACTGGCATATAGCTGATAAGGAACAACTTGGTAAGATCGTATTGGAGGTAGAATCTGTTAGGTATATAGTGATATATTATTTGGAAAATCCACTTTAAACACCTCACAAATCTAGCCAAGGCATCAGCCCCGTAAGTTGATAAGTCGGTATAACGATTGGTATTATTGATAAACCTTATTTCTTAGTTCATAGTAAGGTTTACGAACATAAATATAAGTTACACTTAAAGTACGGTAAGTATAACTTAACTTCCAGGTTGTTTAACGAAAAAATGGACATTACGCAGGCAAGAAATTCGAAACCGAAAGCTCTGTTTCTCCAGGCTATCTAGCACTCTAGAGCTTCACTACTAACACCTAAGAACTATAATTCGGGCCTCGAGACTATTTGAGAAAGAAAGGAAGAAGACTAAGCATCAAATGAAGCAACAATCGGCCATATATATAACATTTCAGGAGGGGCACACCACGCTTGGGTGTGCCATGCCTATGCCTTGTGTCTCCATCTACTGCAAATTTCGGGGAGTAAGGCTCTTACTAGATCATGCCACATGTCACTCATCCGTGGTGCCACGTGTTACGATCTAGATGGTTCGAATTTATTATTTTTCTAAAAATTATAACTTTCGTATATGGACTTCGTTTTCGATGGTTTTTATATCAAAGCATTGCTATCGATTAGTACTACAAATCTCATTTAGACTTTATTGACTAATTTTTAATTTATTTTTTGTTTTTACAGTTCGAGAGGGCTTATACTATAATGATGCAGCGAAACTCGTAACTTCTTTATATGAGCTCCGTTTTCAACATTCTTTATATCGTCGATTTCATTGAAGAGTACTACAACTTTCATTTAGATTGATTTGGCTAACGCTCTAATGATTTTTATTTCTATTAGTGTGTAGCACACTGTTGTATTTTGTCGCACTAGAAACTTTGAAAAATCATAAGTTCCTCATATGAAGTCGGATTTAGGTGGTCTTTATATGTAATATTTTCTAATTACGATTAGTACGACTTTTGTTTGGATCACTTAGGCTAATAAGAAACCTATCTCCGATTCACTTTTTATGACACACGTTGTCGTATCGGTTCGAACATGGAACTTAAATAAATCATAAATCCCTCATATGAAATCAAATTTAAACATTCTTTATATCTATGTGATTATGATCATGAATGCTTCAAGTTTCGTTAAGATTATTTATCCTAAATAGTATTTTATTTTTAATGTTATTTATCGGTTAACGATAATTTTTATATTAAGATTTTCGACAAATATTATATACTACTATTATTTTTCCACATAATGTGTATACGATTAATATTTATTTGCTCGTAACACATACAAAGAACAATTACTCTAATCAATGGTTTTAATTGTTTGATTAAATGTATAATTATTATTTTTATACCCTAAACGTGTAGCCCGAAATTATGGGCGTTACAATCGAGTATTTGGTATTTATTGTGGATGACAGATTTGATCGACAACATTTATCTATCGATGAGGTTCCCATTGTGACGGAGTTTCCAGATGTGTTTCATGATGACTTTATGGGTACGTGTTCATCCTGAATGAAAAGTTGAATTTGAAATTGATATTATTATGGGCACAACACCAATTGCTTGAGCACCTTATCGGTTGGTGTCTCCTAAGATGCAAGAGTTATCCAGTCAGTAGTGAAAGTTATTGGATTCAGTATTTATTCATCCGAACAGTTCTCCATGTGGGACATTGATTTTTTCCGTTTGTAAGAAGGTTGGGTCCCTTCGTATGTGTATTGATTATGGATAGATGTACAACGTCACCATCAAGAACAATTATCCTCTACGAAGAATCGATGACTTATTTGATCATTTTCTTGGAGCATCTTGGTTTGCCAAGATCGATCTACGCTCTGGGTATCACCTGATACGTTTTAGAGAAGAGGATGCATCCAAGATTAAATTTCACACTTGTTATGGGAATTATGAGTTTGGTGTAATGTCCTTTGGCATGAATAATGCTCCCTCAACCTTTATGGATTTGATGAAAAGAGTATACATGCCCATGGTAGATAAATCATTGATAGTGTTCATAGCCAATATTCTGGTGGATTTGAAGACCTGTGAGGAACACGAGGAACATTTGAGGGAATTACTGGAGACCCTCAAGCATAAAAGTTGTATGGAAAGTTCAAGAAGTGAGATTTGTGATTATGGGATGTTTAGTTCCTTTTTCATCTTATCAACCAACAAGGGATTTTGGTTGATCTAGCCAAAGTGGAGGCCGTTTTGAGTTGGGAGGTTCTAAAAACTTGCATCGAGATCAAGAGTTTTCTTAGTTTAGCTGGAATTACCGTTGGTTCATTCAGGATTTCTAAAAAATAGTAGTTCCTGTGACAAAGTTGACAAAGAAGGGTGTTATTTTCAAGTGTGGAGATGATCAGTAACGGGATTTTGAGACCTGGATATAGTGCTTATGGGAAGCACCGGTGATGAATTTCTTGGAAGGGGTGTATGATATGCTAGTTTATTGCGATGCTTCATTGCTTGGTTTGGGGTAGTCCTTATGCATAAGGGAATGGTTATTGCGTATGCGTAATGACATTTGAAGCCACATTAGTCTGGATACCCGACCCATGATTTAGAGCTTGTGGGTGTTATGTTCCCCCTAAAGATTTGGATGCAATACATAGTACATATTTAGAGTGAAGTGCATATTATATACTAATCATACGAGCATGAAACATCTTATGGATTTAGCAAGATTTGAATATGAGACAACATTAGTGGCTCATTATGCTGAAGAATTATGAGTCGGAGATACTTTGAACACCTTGGTAAATAATGTTATTAGTGATGTGTTGAGTCGCAAGAAGCATGGTGCACTCATGCATGTTAGTTGTCTGAGGGTGACACTTGGTACCTCTCTTTTTGATATACTTAGACAAGCTTGGAATGAGGTACTTGCGATGGAAATTTTGGTTCGGGAAAAGATTAGGGGGCAGACACACAATTTGGTTAGGGATAGTCAAGGATTGCTCACTCGTTATGGTCGAATCTGAGTACCATTTGTAGGGAACGCAAGGTAGATGTTTTTGGATAAGGCTCATAAGTTAAAGTTCTCCGTACATCCAGGTTCTACCAAAATGTATATAGATTTAAGAACGGATTACTGGTGGATGATAACGAAGATGGGCATTGGCAAATATATGGAGAAGTGTTTGACTTGCCTAAAGGTCAAGGCAGAACATCAGATGTTGCACGACAAGTTGCAGCCTCTTAATATTCCTATTTTGGAAATGGGACCACATCATGATGGATAGCATTATGAAGCTACCTAAGACCTGAGGTATTTTAATACTATTTGGGTGATAGTCGATTGTATAATGAAGAGTTCTCACTTCATCGCTATTAGGGATAGTTCATCTGTAGAGCAAGTTATATATATCTACATGAAGGAAGTTGTGTCTTGGCATGGTGTGTTGATATTAGTAGTGTCTGACATGGATATCGGATTCACGTCTTATTTTTGGAAGTGATTCCATGAGGATCTATGTACATAGTTGGGGTTTAGTGCAATGTACGACCCCCAGATAGACAGCTAGAGTGAGAGAACATTATAGACTTTAGAGAACATGTTGCGAGATTGTGTGATAGATTTTGGAGGTAGTTGTGATACCTTTTTTCCATTAGCTGAGTTTTCCTACAATAATAGTTACCATGCCACTATTGGAGTACCGCCTTACGAGATGTTATTTTGGGAGGTGATGCCAAAGCCTGGTTTGTTGGGGGGGGGGGGTGGTAAGATAGCGTGAGATCGGGAATATTAAGGTCACTCAGAGGACCATTGAATACATTTATCATATTAGAGAGTGCCTTAAAACAACTTTGGGGGTATAATCTTTATGCTAAATAGTGGCTTCAGACACGAATATGAAAATAAGTCAGTTCATATCAAGTGTCTTTCCTCTTGCCCACTTTGTTTATGTTTATGTTATTAATCTATTTTTCACAATTTCTTACATGTTTTCCACATATTATTGTTTTGACACTGAATAGCCTTGACATTAATCCAAGCACAAAATGTAGAGTACCATTATCAATTTCCATTTATAATGTTGTGTATGTGTGTATAATATATATATATATATATATATATATATATATATATATATATATATATGTCCTAGAAAGAAAAGTGGTTGAATATTTCATCTAAAACACCATTTTGTTAGATTAATTCAAAAACAGTTCAAACATTATTACATCAATTTTATTTGTGCTATGTACTATTTTGTACTTCTTAAAAGGTGCCTATTAATACGATTCTAGCTCATTTGATGAACAAGGTTTGCACATACGTTTTAGAAAGGCATCATCAGGTTTGTAAAATTAATCCATCAGATATATTGAGAATGAAGTTGAATGGAGTACAAACAAGGATGGATGGAATGATGGTTAGGTGTAAGGAAAAATATGTTGTCATTAAAGAAGTTGTAAGAACGAAGATCGAGGTGAATTCTTTGTAATCCACTAGAACAGAAATGGCATCTCATTCGATCCATTTCTAGGGTGTTTTATGTTTTAGAAGTTATGAGGGAGTGAGGATCCTTCGTGGCCCAAACGAATCAGGTGTTTCATTTTTAATAAGAACTTTTTGATAGAAGAACGAAAAGGTTAGGAAGATAGACAAATCCAAACGTACCATAAGTAGACCTAAGGTTTGTAAAATTGAGCAGCCGTTGCAGTCTCCAGCAAGGTGAGGTGAGCTGAGGTTGCTGATCGTTGTAGAGAGCACTCATATGTTTTCAATGGTTCTTGAAATAAATCCTTAGAATTCTCCCTGGAATTTTGTGATAAAGATAATGGTCTACGTGTGTTAATTTGAAGAATTATAAAACAACATGCTTACACGATACATGTTTTATGATAGGCACCCTTTAGGACACACAAAAAATGCATATCCTAAATTCTTTAAATTTTCAGAGAGGTAAAATTATTTTAGGACACACACTTTTCCTTATTATAAAACCAGTGTGTGTCATGGTTCATGTTTCATTAAAAGGTTTTCTTATAGTAGTATCCTAAATATTATTTGATTTTGAAACTATTTATACCGTTGTAATCATCATAAATCACTGGGTTTAATGAGAAAGGTTTTTAATTCATCCCGAAAATCTAACCAAAATATAAAGTTTTACAATTTTCTTATTTATTTATATAAAGTAATATATATTCTTCATATAAGGCTAATAAAATAATATTAAGCATAATTCTGTTTACAATCAATGCCATAATGAAATTGCTTTTTTTGTCTGACAAATCTCATCCTGCGACTACTTCTAAATTCATATATATCTTAGACATGATTTGAACATCAACCTTAAGGAGGAGGGCAACATCTAATATCGCTAGGCTAGAAGCTCCATTGGTACCAAATCGCATAAAAATATAAAAAATTAAGTTGCTATTTTTTTTCAATTAATAATTTTCAGAAATTCCTTTATATTTATAATTCCTAGTTTGTTATTATAAAGTCAACATGTTTCCATTATTGAAAGTTAAAGTTTATTGCCATTATTAAAAATATAATATATGTTTTAGTTATACATAATTTGTCATACAAAAATATAATACATATAAAAAAACTGACTTCTACTATTGGTGTTCATTGTTGGCCAAATTTATAAATGTAGACACAATATAGCATGACTAACCTTTTGTGTTCCTATTGGAAACAAAATTGTCACGAGACAAAAGAATTGCCTAACCCTACTATTGTTTCTGGTCTGATACATGGAGCTCAATGAATTAACTTTATGTTAAAAACATAAACTCGTGTTTATGTTGCATTGTGCATACTGTTAGAGTGTGTTCCCAGACAGTGTTGGATAGTTTTCGATGATGCTTTTACAAAAGCAGTGAAAAAATGGAAAGGAAAATGTAACATATGTTTTGTTTCTATCACTACATCACCAAAGCCAAAGTTTATAGTTGATTAAAGGATGAACTACTTAAATAAATCAAAAGGAATTGATTTAAATCCCATCGTCGTTTGATAAACTGTATTCAAACGCTTCACGGAAGCCTTCGTGATCGTCATGAAAAAGTTCTATGAATTGTGCATAAAAGTCCTTTAGCTTTTGTGGAGGCTGTGTTATTCCTAATTGATCTGATAACCAATCCATGTAATCCATCTATATATTAAACAATAATTAAGATAAAGGGGTCAACATTACCACTAATAAGAGTAGAAGTATAAAACTATAACATCGTAAATAAAGTAATGAAATGGGAAAAATTACTTGATGATTAAGTGAATGAGTGTAGCTCTTGGGGATTCCCCTCTCTTCCATTTGTCTGTAAACTTTTTCTACATCATGTAACATTTCTTTTTCGGATGGCAATAAAACTTTCCCGGATAATGCTTGAGCTATCCACTTTGATTGCAGTTCTGCTGGAAGAAATGTCATACCCTGAGTAAATTTTACAATTATAGCTAGTCTAATGTTAATTTGGTTGTCCATAATCAAATTAAATGGTCTTGTATTAAAAATAAGTATTAGTATACAATGAACTCACCTTGTTAAATAGTCCCACAAATGATAGTTTGGGAGCAAGTTGTGGAGGGAAAACATGTCCATAAGTAGGTGCAACACGATTTTCTTCAACGCTTACAATGCCCTTCATTTTAAGAAAGGGAATATGATATTTGTACCTATAAAAAACTAATTAGATCATTGAAATACATACAAAAGGATGGAAATTCTTGTGGTTCTTACCCTGTACAATGTATAATTGTATCTGCTTTAATGGATACTTCATCTTGAAACGTAACTGTACCATCTTGGAAAACATGATCTATCTAGTTAAATTATAGAAATACATATAGAGTTTTAGTGTTCTTTGCTACCTCCAAATTAAAAAATAAATAACCTTTCTTAACATAAGGATCCATGAAGGAAAGGTCCATATCGCGTGCAACAAATTCACAGTGAAAAAATAAATGTATGATAGAAGGAAATGTCAAATGTTACCCTCGAATGCTGCCATATATTATCGAATTTATCCATTTTTGAGACCTTAGCATCTGGTGATCTTGATGATAAGTGAACTTCTTTGGCAACGATTGCTATTTCTCTTGATATGTCATACGCACTCGACCCACTACCAATAATAACCACAACCTGTAAAGTCAAGTATATTAGTCAAACATCTATAATCACACTAAGAATAAACAGACTTTTGATAAAAATAGATGAACTTATAATAATTAGTTTTTAAATATTTGTTACATTATATACCTGATCTCGATATGGTTCAGGAACTCGATAATTATGAGCATGCAGTTGTTTCTTAGTCCATTCATTCATTCCTGTATGTGTTAATAGATATTATGAAGAAAATTTAGCAAAACCAAATCTTTAAGAACCGAGTATATGCATTAGTCGTGTACAAACCAATCTTGTTTAGTTCAAACTAATTTTTCACATTGGCACTTCATTAAATGGGGTACTTAGCACTATATCCCTTGTTCTTTTAAATATAGTAACATGCTATCTATAACACTTGTTTTCCTGATTCGACCGATTGAAGATTTGAGGATTTCAAAGATAATGCATTGCGAAAAAACCTATGCCACTGCGTGGAAGGTGGCTGACCATCGCGTGACCATATCACTTAAATGAGGTTGAGCCTGATTGGGCATAATGACGTGGTAAGCACTGCGGCCGAAGCCCATGAAGATTAGTGTTTTGTCCGTAAAAGGCATAAACTTAAGAGTTAGGTCATTACCTTCTACCTCCATAATCCTTATTTTAAGCCCTAGCCCCTCTAATCTTTTCATTTTGGTAGAAGGATCAAGGAGTTGTGGTGCAAGCAAGCTAGAACCAGTGAGTGTGCAACTTTCTCTTTAGTCATGGATCTGTATAAGTATTCAAGACACTATCTTTATGTTTCCCCTCTTTGGATCTAAAAAACAAACAAGTTTTCTAATGTTATGTAATTTTTGATAGGTTGGAAGTGATAAAGTATGCAACTGTATCACTCTTTGAGGTCCTTAGTACATCATATGTTTTAGGTCTGAAGTGGTTCACTTGGTTGATGCCATGCATGGAGTTTTGACTCCATTTTCATCATTTTAACCTAAGTTTGGAGGAGGAAATACATTGAACATGCACACCCATAAAGTTATGATTTTCATGTATCAATAGGATGTCATTAAGCCTTCTAGAAAGTATTTGGAGTTGTCTTAATGGATTAAGCTCTTAATGAAGAAAATATAGTTATGGCAGAAACCACGGTGTGACCAAGGAAGACTCGTGACGTGGTGGTGCACTGCAACTCGATTGTTTTCTCGGGACATGGCCAAGGTGGGGTGAAGGACTCACGATGGTATGGTGGCTATTGACCGGGTTGATCGTTGACTTTTGTTGACTGTTGACGTTTTATATCAGTTTGATCATGGGTCAAACTTGAAGGGTTTGGATTGTTGATTGAGGTTTGATATGTGTTTGGTGATAGTTAGTTCATGAGGTTGATCAATACAAGGAGTTGAGAGTATATTTTCCTTTTTCAATAAGATCGTAAATAAGATCTTAAATTATGCTTTGTTACACTTTTTTCGCTATGTCCGGGGAAAATGAATATATATATATATATATATATATATATATATATATATATATATATATATATTACAGTCCGCCTAAACTTAGGTACTAAACCTCATTAAACTACATCATTTTATTAGCTAAAGATTACAATTAGGGATTCATAATTAACACTTGATGTTGTAGATTCAATATTAAAGCAATAATTTTTATAGGGAAGCAAAAATGTTAACTATCTTTAACCTTCGTGATGGTGAAAAACAGTAACGTTCACTGACGTGAAATAATAAACGATAATGGAGGAAAAAAAACGTGGATGATTCAATGATAATAGAGGAAAGAAATGCAATGGAGAATTGTATATTCACCAGGTGAAAACTGAACCGGTTATATTTACTATGATAAAACAACATAATTTAGAGGTTTAGTATCTAAGTTTCGGTGAGGTTGTAATGTATATTCTCTATCTTCATATATATATATATATATATATATATATATATATATATATATATATATATATATATATATATATATATATATATATATATATATATATATATATATATATATATATATATATATATATATATATGGAAGAGTTCAATAAATAAGCATTATTAATCAAGGAATCAATCCAAAACGTCGAAATTTAAAGCGATCAACAGCAAAAGGAAGAGTTGTCGACTTTTACAATTGACGCGCATGCAAGTTGATTTTCAACGTTCACGATTGGTTATTTGGTTCCTTGTTAATTACGGTTCTCTATTGAACATCTCCATATCTTATACTATATTATAAAGTATATTAGTCATATCTTGAATTTCAAGATGTATAAGTTACATAGTTTTGTGTATAAATCAATTATGCATAAATAGATAAATAATTCTTAACAAAAGTTTAAATATTTGAATTAAGGAAAGTAATAAAGAAATTCAATTTGGAGAAAATGAAAATTTTAAAATATTAAATTCACGCATATAAATTTTTTACATTTCTTAAAGTCGAAACAAATATTAATTAATTTACATCAATAATATAAACACACAATATAAATATAAGGTATAAACATAATTGTAACATACACGTTTTGAAATCTAGTTTTGTAAGTTATAAAAGTCAGTAATATATTATGAAATATTATGTGAAATTAAGTTTTGAGTTCTAACGGATAGTTTTTACTAGAAATGAAGTAAAACTATGTTTAGAATCACTCATAAAATATTGGAAGTCTTGTGAGATTCTAATTAAAAGCCAAATAGGGAAATTTATCGAAAATATAAGTTTTAGAAAAAGTGAAATTTTATTATTCTAAGTTGTAGAGAATCTCATTAGAAATATTTAGGCAAAAACTCGTCAAAATGCGAGTTATAACGAACAAGTTATAACCGAAGATCCGTAACAAATCCGACAAACACTATGTCGTGTAAAAAGTAAGTTTTCGATAAACTATTTTTTAGCGTTAGTGATCTAAATGAAATTTGTAGAACTCGTAAAAATAATCAACTTTCATATAAAGACTGTTTAAATCTGACTTCGTATGAGGAAGTTATGATTTTTCTAAGTTTCGGATTAACAATAGACAGCTAAAAACTCGTAATAAAGATCGAACGATATTTAGCCAAAACAACCTAAACGAGAATTGAATGTCTCTTCATTAGTTGTACAACGGTAAAAAGACTAACAAAAATGGACATCGGATAAAGAAGTTATGAAATTTTAACGGACTTTTTCTATCCCGGCCCGTTTAAAATATAATAATAAAAGTGAATTGAAATTAGCCGACGGAATCTAAACGAAAGTTTTAGAATATATTCTCACCTACGCGTGCATATAAAGAACGTCAAAAATGGAGTTCGTGCGCAAAAGATACGAATTTTTAAAGTTATTAAATAAAAATAAATGAAAAATCGAAGTATTATCCGGAGCCGTACGCCCAGCGTATGAGCTTACGCATAGCGTAAGTGTGCGATTTGGAATCAGCCATGTCTCTCACTCTTCGTCCTATGTACCACGTCCGAAGCTCCAAATCGATGACTCTTCGTAGGTACGCCCAGCGTACGAAGGCTACGCCCCGCGTAGATGGCCGCCTCGGAGTACGCCCAGTGTACCGAGGACTTACGCCCATTGTAATGCGAGCCTCGGACCCCTATAAATCGATTGCAAAGGCAGCCAAATTTGGTTTAGAATCCTTACACTTTTTCACCTTATACTCTCTCCAAATTTACCCTAACACCCCCCGTAGTCCCGATATCAATCCCGACAACCGAAGCAAACCCGGCGTCCCAAAGATCCCGAGAAAATTATTTTTTAGGCGAAACTCTACCTGTGTAAGGCCGGTTTTCAAAAAAAATCCCCAGTTTCATCGCAGAAAGTCATATTTGGAGCCGAAGTGCTGCCAAAATTAATATTTTAACCCTGGTTATTTCAAGGTGAGTTCAATATATAGGAACAATTGTATGTTATGTGTTATATATATTATGTGCTTTTCCATGTTATCATCTTGTGTTATTATTTCTGCTATTTTATAGCAAGGCTATACCTCTGAGCATGAAGTGTATGACATATGCATCACTTGGGTATTGGTATGTACCGTTGACCATGGAGTGTATGACATAGGCATCACTCTCACTTCGGCAATACGCTAAGATAAGGCTAAAAGCCTGAATATTATAGAAAAATGATATTCCTGAGTATTTTCTATGCCAATTGTGTTGAAGTTTTATTGATTATACATCAAGTATGGAAATTCTTATGCCTTATTGTTTGATATGGAAAGCTTTTTGCATGATTCACATATACTTTTGTTGTTCCTTGTTCTTTTTTGCTTCTGCCACATTAAAGTGTGTGTGTGTGTGTGTGTGTGTATATATATATATATATATATATATATATATGACATAACGTTATATTGTATCTATTATTGAACTCACTAAGCGCTACCGCTTACCTTTCTCAATGTTTACCGATCACAGATGATAAATAAACAGTATGGTAGTATACTGTTGGAAGATTTAGAATAGTTTGTAATAGTACTTTTATACTTCAGTTTATGTTTGTATAAATTATAATATCCTGCGTAGTTATGTAAAATATAAAACTTAGTTGGTTTGTATCCATTCTTTGTAATCAAACTATCAATGTATAATATAATATGTTTTATGAATATGCATGTAGCATGTTTTGGAGTAACAACTGTTGTTAAATTCTGAAAGCATGAGGATCTTTCAATAAATATTTTATTAAAAAATATTAAATTATTATTAAATAATAACTAATAATAAAATCAAATAATTATTTCATCATAAAAAACTATTCAACAAAAAAACTATTTATCGTCATTGCTTTGCGCGGGTCGACATCTAGTGTATATATATATATATCAACTTGCATCTGGGTGGAAATTAAAATTGAAAACGTAATAAGAGCATCTCCATCTCACTTCTATTCTCCATAATTTCCTCCATTTCTTCTCTCATTCCTCTCCAACCCTAACCCATTTTCTTTCCCCATTTTGGAGGAAATGAATAGTATAACACCAAATATGGTGTTATACTATTCATTTCCCCTAAAATGGAGATGAACTTTGAGTTGTCGGTTTTAGTCCCTCGTTTTATATTTTTATATATTTCTGGTTTTTTTACCTACTAATTATTATTTAAATATAATATTTAATACTTATAATATTGTGTTATATATTAAATTATATTAATTAATTATAAATATAAAATTTTCTTTTTGCTTATCAAATTCATATTAAAATTTAAATACATATTGTTATTTTTAAAACACAATTACATATTTTACAAAAGCTTATAATTACGTATTATAAATATAACATTATTTGTTTAATATTATTGACATGAAAAAAATATACTATATATTTGTTAAAATCAAATTAGTAGAAGGTTATATTTGATAATTTATATATGTTAAAAAGATGGAATATATTTTTTGGGGTAAAAAATGAAATATGGTTTTACCTTATTTTTTACTTCATTTTTAAAGGAAAAAATGGAAATGGATTGGATATGATCTAATAAAATTATTGATGATCTATATTCTATAATATAATTAAATATTAGTTAAACTACCACTAATTTGTTATTTACTTGATACCTTGAATGTCGAGAGCCACCCTAGGTTGACTGTTGTGACCATTACAAACAACCACAGCATCAAACACCTCAATCGAGTTTGAACTCGAAGCCGAACTCACCGGAATCCTCTTCCATTCCACTTGAAACTCATATCTTGAACAAATGAAATCAACTCGGGTCACCTCTGAATTGAATCTAATGAGTTTCTTCAATGCAAATTTCTCAGCAAAATCTTCCAAATACCTTAAAAACTCTTCATGCCCCGGAAACATCCGTGGGTCGCCGTATTCTTTCCCTTGAAACGGATAATCTGAAAATCCCATTATTTGACGTGGGCTATTTGTACGTAAAGATTTGTATATTGTTGCATGAATGATTTCTCTCTGTGGATCGATTCCGAGTAAATCCGATTCTGTTCTTGGATCATAGACCCAAACTCCACCCAATCTGTGGGCTTTTTCAAATACCACGACTTCATGGGATTCTCTTTCAAGCTCCCGAGCCGCGATTAGCCCGCAGAGTCCAGCTCCAATGACCGCCACCTTCAATGGAGTTTGCATAGCTTTTAACTTTTTCGTCTGTTTATCAAGACGATCCAACCCGTGATTCCTTCTATTTTCATAGGAAAAAAAAGCATCTTCCAAGTTGCAAGTCGGACAAATAGCTAAATAAAATATTGTTCATTTATTGTTATTATTATTCTCTAAGTCTATTGTTTTAATATATTTTTTTTCTTAAATAACTCTTCCATATTTCTCACGTTCACGTTCACGTTCATAGATCTAAAATTCAATTAGTGGCCCTAAAACCAGCTATCTGGTTCTAGACGCACATCAATTGTAAATTCAAGATCGTGTATGATCTTTTTTATTTTGTCGACATATGAATTTGCCTTCTGTTCGAAAGTGACCCATGTGCATGCATTTTTTACAATCAATCTGGATGTTAAATTTACAATATAATAAATTTACCTTTGTCTATATGTCAATAATAATAATTAAATTAATAATGTATATATATATATATATATATATATATATATATATATATATATATATATATATATATATATATATATATATATATATATATATATATATATATATATATATTGTTAAGTTAAAACTAAAGAACCAATAGTGATATCTGATTTGATCAATTAAAACTGTAAAAATAAAATGATTTTGATTTTCAAAACATTGAATTTAAATAGTTTAAACTAAATTCAATCCGACCTAAACTACAATTGAGTTGTATCAATTTTTTAAGATTTGGTTTTCATTAGGATTTTAAAATATGTATAACTTGTATATTAACAAACTTGAGTAGTCAAATTAAAATCCACAAATTTTGTTTGAGTTTTTGACCAAACACTACCGACGGACAATTCCGTTGCTAAAGGCTTTCAACAACGTTTAGATTTCAGTTGAAAAAACCATTATCGCTAATTGTCACTGAGTGATTCAACATTGAATTAGCGATGACACAAATTACTCAGGGTACTTCTCCATTCTGTCCCTATTTTGTGGTTGATTATTAGTAAATGAACAGTTTTTTAATGTTAACGATGGTCTAGTAAGTGTTGAAGTTGTCATTATAACATAAAAAGAGTTCACAAATGTGATTCAGAACTTATACCCTAAATTCAAAACATTAAAATTCAACTACCAAAATAAATATAAATATTTAATTAGCAAAATAAAAGTTCATGTTCAATTTCAAAGTACCGAAACCCAATCATAAAATCCAAAAGTGCCAAAATATAGTTAGGTAGGTACTCTTGACTATTTCTTGTTTATTGTTTCAAATTCTTCATGATGCTACCTAAGCTATTCATTTCTCATCTAAATTATGATCAACAATAACCTACACAGCAATTAACAATAGTTTACACCTTTTAAACATCAAGCCATATCATTCAATTAATATAGCAACATGCTTTCAACTTGAAATTAAACTATATGAAATGAATAATAGCAACAATTAATTGCAACGTAATTTCAACTTGAATAAAAATAGCAACATTTAATAGCAAAGTACTTTCTACTTGAAAAAAAAAACTATAAATATTTAACTTGAAAATAATTTGATCCTATAACGATGTAAAATATTCCCTCCAAAAGACAATATAAAAAACTAATAAAAGCCGGGTAAAGCAAAATAAAATAAATGAGGATAACAATCCATATACCATGATTGATAGTTTGAAGCACATAAATCCTTAAATTGTGAAGCCTGAAAAAGATGAAGAAGATCTAAAATAAGAAAATTGTTAAATACTAAAAATGAAAAGAAATACATAATTTGTATAAATTAGTATTTTTCTTGTCAAATACTAAAAATGAAAAGTTATAATTTGTGTAAGTGGGTAGGTTAATTCCTTGTGTGAGCTTTAAGATTAAATCATATATCTTGGCGATTTCACTTCTAGAAACCAGGACAATTTCTCAAACATGCTTTGATATAACCTACAAATATGAAATAAATAAATGGACGCATAATCTATAATGTTTAGGGTTATATATATATATATATACACACGAAGGATCATTTGAGAACTCAAAGTTTCCCGAGAACCCGAAAACCAAACCAGGGCCGTTAGATTAAAATAATAAAAGGTTATGATGTTTTGTGACACTTTTGTAAATACTTAGGGAAAAAAAGACAAGGGGGCATCCTAATTAAATGAATCAGGGGTATTTTAGTGATAACATAATTCACTCATCTGATCATCAAGTAAATCACGTAAGCCCCAACCACTCTATGTCTGTGTCTCTCTCTCCCCCCTTCATCCCACTCGCGAATGTTGCATCGCCTCTGAAGATCTCAATCTCATCTCAGTTCCGATCCTTCCAACGAACAATCTCCCAGATGATTTCGATTAGAGAGACCATGGTCCAATCACTGATATGAAAAATCAGGTACTCCAATTTACACAATTTGTCCCCAATTGTATTAGCTGTTGCAAACGCATAGCAATTTAAACAATCAGTCCCAATTTATAACCCAAAATGACAATATACTTTTGTTTTTAACCCACACTTGCAGAAACTTGTAGCAGCTCAATTGAACCTTGTTTTTTTTTTTTTGCTAAAAATGTGAAAATATTGTGTTGAATTTGTAAAATATCCGTATTTGATTCTGAATATGAAAAAAGAATTGGGTGATTTTAAAGTCAAATTTTTTAATGTGACCACCTTTCAATTCAGATAATTCACTTTGAAGTCTTAAATAGTGGCTGATAAGTGCCCTTTTGGAACAACCTAACACAACCAAAGAGATAGGTAGAAAACAAGCAATAATAACCAAAATGATTGCCTACTTTCATTCTTAACCTTTACTTGCAGATAAGTTTCATTTTTTCACAAATAGCATCATACTTTTGCTTTTTTTCCCACAAAATACATCATAATTTTGTTTTTTTTAACAAAATACCATTGTACTTCCGTTTTTCACAAAATACCCTCATAATTTTGTTTTTTCACAAAATACCATCATACTTCGTTTTTTTTTTTCACAAAATACCCTCATAATTTAGTTTTTTTTTCACAAAATACCATCGTACTTCCTTTTTTTTTGGAAAAATATCCCTCATAATTTCATTTTTTCACAAAATATCATCATACATGTTTTATTTTCATAAAATACCCTCATACTTTCATTTGAAACACTTAGTGGCAACCAAATTTCAATTATAATCACATAAATCATAAACAATCAACAAATTTATTTCGAAAATATTAAAATTGTTAAAAACATCAATAACTTCGAGATTATCAATACACCGTTTGTGTCTAAAACATGAAAAAGGTGAAGTTAATCAAAAAAATATCATGAAGCATCTAGTTTTTCTTATTCTCCAAGAAACAACACATCTCATCATTATGTCTCTTGCAACGATTAATCTGCCTGATACATGAAAAACATAATTTTTTTTAATATAATTATTACAGTTCTCAATCATGAAAATTAATTATTATTATAATTACCTTTCTTTTTGAACAAATAGTAGCATAAGCACTCAATCCTTGACAGTAAGAGCATGTTCATTTTTTGGGGGCTTCTAAAGAAGACTTGATTCTACTTGCATGTTTAGGACTCCCTTTTTGCAGTAGTTGGACCAACAGGATCACGGACAGACAACTATGGCATCATATCTACTTGCAAAATGCCCATACAAGAACTTTGAGATGTATTCTCCAAAGGCATAGATTTATTTCGATTTGCTTGATCGTGTAAAAGACTTATCAATATCGTATTAAGTTTTTGTATCTTAGAAGGGGAGTCCCTTGCTTGTTCAATTAGTTTAGTAAAATTTTAACGAACACAAAATAATGTGTAGGCACTAACTCTATTTATTTATTTCTCCAAGTCCGACGCTAACACTACCCAATTTGCAACTAGCATCAAGGGTCCATCGCAGTAAAATATAGCGACTCGACAGTTATTGAACATGCTTCTTCTTCATCACATATAAGCTATGCTTGCATACAATCCTATTTGTCTCATACATAAAATAGGAACATGTGACACTGACATAATTTAAAGAACGAATGGTAACAATACATGAATATTCTTTATTAACGTGCAATTGCCCAACTCTATATGTTCTTTCTTCTTTAGTTTTGTTAGAGTCTCATGAGTCAAATTGGTAATAGCTTCGGTCCATTATTTTTTGAAAGTATCAAAAATCATTCTAGTATAACATTGACCTGATTTTGCTTTAATTGGATGCACTGAAGAAAGAACCGGCCTTGAGTTCATAGTCTTGAGGTCTTCATCTTCTTCGGCAACCCTTCGTGACTCAACTGATTTGTCGTATTGTACAAAAAATTCATTCAACATGGTCCTCGAGTTAACAAATCCATCAAAAAAGAATTGATAATCTCACTTCGTTTGGTTATGGTCATACCAACAAAGAAAATATCCTTCAAGAAAGGTTTAGCCTAATGTATACGTTAGTTATATGTGCCACTAATCCAACAATTGCTTTCCATTTCATACTTAATACGCATATCTTCCCATGTTGCTTCAAATTTTTCAATGGTGTCACTATTTACCCATTGTCTGTGCTTTTCTTGAAAATCACTGTAACGGGAAACATACGATCAAAGGTGCTCAGTTTCATGCTTCCTGATATGCCATGAGAAAAAGTTTCGAGTCTTTGGAAACACTTTTTTTAATGCATTGCCCATGGCTTTGTCTTGATCAGTAACAATAGCCTTTGGATACTTGTTAAACATACATTTGAGGAAATGTTCAAATAACCATTTAAATGTCTCTTCTTTTTCCATTTCAAGCAGTGCTCCACCAAAAAGTATGAACTGCCAACAATGATTCACCCTAGTAAAGGGAGCAAAAGGAATCTTGAATTTGTTAGTCATATAAGTGACATCAAACACAACATCTCTGAATTTTTTTATAGGCATCTCTTGATCTACCATCAGCCTAGAAGATATTACTAGGATACCCATCATCAAACAAATCCACGACAAAATACTGGTCACTATCAACTAATGTTTTATCTTGAAAATGTTTTACAAGTCCAAAGAACTCCTTT